AAATCTCAATTTTCAACCAAGATTTCTTATTAGTGTGCCCTAATCCATTTTCATGTTTCAAATTATCATTCAAAGGGTTTTAAATCTCAAATCAATGATTAACAATGCTAATCCATCTATCTCAAGTCCCCAAATGAAGCTAATTTGGGTTCTCCCTGAAAACAGGGGTTAAAACAGCATTTTCAGGCCAAACAGGGTCAAACCCCGTGTCAACCGGTCGACCGGTGACAGAGCAGTGCAACACTACCGGTCAACCGGTAGTGTGCACACCGGTCGACCGGTCAGCCTACAGTCCGGTCGACCGCATTAGTTGACCGGTTTCCATGTGATCCGGTCGACCGCACAGGTTGACCAGTGGAATCAGCTGCGCGAGAGAAGCTCACGGAAATCAGTCCAAAACCTGCAAATCCAGTCCCAAATCAAAATATTTCAAAGGGAAACCACTAGATCTGGGTTCTAGGTCCTAAAACAAGTCCAAAGAACCCAAGATCTCCAATTTCTACTTTAGTTTTACTCAAAAACCATCAAAATCCGGTTTGAACCAAAATAAGGTTTGAAATTCAAAAACTTGAGATTCAGGAGAGGTTCTTTCAGTAATCTTACCTCGAATCCTTCTCTTGACGTTGAAAACTTCTTTAAATCTTCCTTGGTTCAAGATCCGTTTGATTTGGGACAAAAAAAAATGAGAGAGAGAGAGTGAGAGAGAGCACGGGAGAGTGAGAGTGAAGGAGAGAGAGAGTGCACGGGAAAGGAAAGAGAAGGAAAGGAAAAAGGAAGGAAAAAGGAAAAGAAAGGAAAAAGAAAAGGAAAAGAAAAGGAAAAAGAAAAGAAGATGACTTGTGTACAATGTTTTAAAAGAGCAGTCCAGAAATGCGCCCATACACACTTCTGGTTAAAAATAAATTACTGAGAATAATTTAAATACCTTAGAACTATTTAAACTCACACGTGTCAGAAACATTTATTAATTAAACTCAATTAATAATCCAGATTAGGCACACTAATAATCTCAATTACCTTAATTAATCTCAATTAATTCCTCCGGGTGTTACACATTGACTGCCATTTTTGGCAACAACAATAACCCCGCCATTCAATATGATACAATTAAAACAATCAGGCTCACATACAAGTTGTAATATGAAATATCATTATACAACAATGTCTTAAACATAAAGCAAGAAAACCACACTGAAAGAAAACAACAATGTCTCTAACATGAATACAACAAGAAGATCATACTGAAAGAAAATAACAATGTCTCAACCATCAATACAACAAGAAAATCGCACTAAAAAGAAATGAGGAATGGAAATCTAAGTGGAGGATCCTAGCCTATGTTCAAACTTAAGCCAATTAAGATTCAACTCAGGTTCCTTAAAAGCCATAAATGCCTATCTCTTATTCTTGTCTAACAATAAGTGGACCGAAAAGAAATACAACTCGCTACAAATCTGTAATCCTAGTAATGAATTTAGAACCTCAATAACTTTTGTTATGCTATAGTTACCAGCGTCAGATTGTGCAATGGATGATCCGGTACTTGTACTCTCAATTGTATCGACAAGGCGATCAATTTGTTGAGACAATTTAGCAACTCTTCCAACCTTCAAGTTTCCTTTTCCTTTCTTGGCTGGCTTTTGTCTCCCATCTGTCTCAATTGGCCTCTTATTTTTATGGTCTTGTGCCACTTCACTTCGGACTGGTTCATCTAAATCACCACTACTCTCAAGTTGTTCAGGTATAGTAGAATTATCATTTTCAGGTTTATCAGGCTCACATGGCACCTGTTCAGATGATGGTGTCTAAGAAAGCACTCCTATGGCCACAGTATTCATGAACATCCTATTTAACTTTTCTTCCAACTGTGGTTCAATTCTCTGAGTGTGAAACTTCGATGCGCTGGGATGAATCTGCAAGAGCACTTGAATAAATTAAACCTGCTTAGTCCAACACTTAAATAAACAATGACAAACCACATAATTCTGTATACCTGCAATTTATTATGCCACTACTCCTCAAATGCGTCAATAGTATTCTTCTTAATGTTCCAACTAAGACTAGTTTCTTTACCAATAAGTTCTTTCTAAAGCTTCCATCATTCTTCAAAGCATCCCATTTATTCTTCAATTGTTGTCTTTTATATACTCGTTTGATTGCTTCATTAAATTTCTGAATTAAATTTTCCCATCCAGCTCTATCAAAATGAGTTCTAGGACGACATCCAGCTTCCACCTCTATAATACACAAATCACAAAACAGATCCATAGTCTCGGGGTCTCATATTGCTTTACCTTGTGATATACTACCCTCAATTTGAGAATTGATAACTGGAAGTCTAGAACAATGTGAGGCTTCATGCTTTAATTTACAAAAATAATAATAAGGGTAATACTAACCTTATTTCTAATTGGAACACTCAATCAATAGCCAAGCTAATCATAGCTTCTAGTCCTAGCTACTTCACCTAAACATTGGTATAAGAACTAATGTATTTGATTGAAACACACAGAACAAACCTCCTATTAACTATCATAAAAAACACCATGCCTGTAGGTGTGTTGTGTTTTGGAGAAAACCTCCACAGGAAGGGGGAATTCATATTTATTCCCAACAAAAAAATGAAAATAAGTCTAGATCTACACAACAAACAATAAAGACGACTTTGGAGATTTCTCTTTAGAAGACATACATGAGTATAAAAGTATAATCTTGAGAAACAAAGAAACACAAAAAATTTGTACATAAATTCATATTACGTAATATGAATGTAATAACATAACATGCTTTGAATTCGAACATTATTAAGCAACTGTCCAAATAAGTGCTCGTTATATCTTCTTCTTTTTTTTTTCCGTTGTTGTTGATTCCGTTAGTGCCTCATTTCATTTTTCTGGTTAGGTGTTGAGGAGCTTTCAACAATGTACAAGTATTTTTCTTTGGTGCAAAAAATCAGAACCCTAAAACCCAAAATATATGCAGACAAAAAATCAGAACCCAATCGAAACTGCACTAAACCTCGAGCACTTACAGAAGCTTACCTCTTGATCTGATGAGGTAGAGAACGGGCAGTCAGAGGAGGAGATGGGATACCGGCAAACCGACAATCTTTCAACAATGTTCAAGTGTTTTTCTTTGATGCAAAAAATCAGAACCCTAAAACCCAAAATATATGCGGACAAAAACTCATAACTAAATCTAGATGTTCAAACTAAAAATCGAGTACTTACAGAGGCTTACCTCTTGATATGATGAGGTAGAGAACGGGCAGTCGAAAGAGGAGATGGGAGACTGGCAAACTGATAATCGCACGAAGGAGAAACCAAACGAACACAGACAGGCGAATTGAGAGAGAGACTGGAGAACGGAGCCAGAGAAGAGCGCTTTGGACCGAGCTAGAGAAGAGAGAGAACAGAGAGGAGAAGAGAGAACGGAGAGAGGAGAAGAAGAGAAAACAAATATGAAAAAATGTGATTATCAGGTGGTAAATTTGAGATTTCATTGGGGGTAAAATTAGAAATAAAAAAATTTCATTAAACTCTCAAAAGGATTCTCGCATAAGTTGAAATCAGACTCAGCCTTTAGGCTGATTCTGCTTTTAGCTTCAGATTGAGAGGAAATTATTCAAAAATCTACTATTTTAGAGTTTAGCAAACAATTTTTAAGGCTTTTGCTGTCTCAATAAGTGATTTTCCTCTCCCAAAATTAATACCAAATTCACCATTTATGTGAGAGTTTTTTACTGTAGTAAAAAATTAGATGTGATTGATTCTAAGAGCCTTTTACTGTAACAAAACTTAAATTTTAAATTCAAATCGGTGAAATAAACGGAGCTTATATTTCTAGCTTCCAGGGCAGTCCCAAGCCTTTATTTTGGGCATGTGATCTGCAAGCTGAAATAATATGTTTGATGGGTGAAATATTAAAATAATTACAGAAATGTATCAGCTGTCTTTTTCTTTGTTAATTAATTGAAGCAGATGTGATTATATTATCTGTTAAATTAAATCAATATTGTTATCATTTTATCGATAAAAATCGAACTTAAGCTGCCTCCGTAGTATTTCTTTTTTTTAATAGGTCTCTCTTCAAGTAATTTTTTGATGCCAGTTATAATTCACTCTGACACTCCCATTACTAAATAAACTTCAGGGAAAAAAAAGTCCGTAGGAGTTCTAAAAAAATATAAAAGTGTACACATAAATGCTTGGAAGATGCATCCTAAACTCATTGATTACCCAAAATATCGAGAGTCATAACCTAAAGTAAAAAGTACTCCAAATTTCGTTATAAAGTTCAAGTCCAATATAATTACACATAAGCAATCAATAACATCACAGAATCACATGAATTCTCGCAATAACTTAGAAGAAAGGAGCACAAAAGAAATTACGAGGAAATAGGAAATAATGCAGACAAAATATGACTATCGCGTCGCATATATATAATATTTAGGCATAATAATTGTGAGGAAGAAAGTCACTGGCTTCATTTTGTACAACATTGTCCAATTAGCAGTTGCTCATCTACAGTACTAGCAACGAGAGGATTATGTAGAATTTTTCTAAATTTATTATTAATTTTTTGGTTAATTAATAAAAATGATAACTTTAATATTGTATATTTAAAAAAATGACCTTTAAGTATTAAAAAATAATTTTATAAAACATTAATATATTAATTTAAAATTATTAAAAATATGAAGTATTAAAAGATAATTATTTTAAAACACACGATACCGATATAAAATTTTCCCTTTATTTTAAAGTAAAATCAACTAGTCCAGATAGGTTTGTCGTCGTTTGTCCGCCTGCCGTTCTTTTTGCTCCACACCAACGACACCTCTGGTTTGGTTTTCGCTCCAACAATAGATTAACACGTTTAGTTTGGCACATTTTTTTTCCTTTAAACCGACCAAATTGACCACAAATGTTCCTACTTACCAACACATCTTATCTTAAAACTCTTGCAAAGGAAAAATGTTGATTACTTATCTATTTTTTGCCAGGAAAAAGGAAAGTTGACTACTTATGTTTTTATAATATTCATTTATAATTATATAAATATTTATAGGAGAAAGTTGACAAATGTAATGGCCTATTAGCTCAGTTGGTTAGAGCGTCGGGCTAATAACGCGAAGGTCGCAGGTTCGAAACCTGCATGGGCCAGTCTACGGTTTTCTCTTTTTTACTAATTCTTCATTTTCTATATATAATTATATATATATTTACCTAAGGGTTCGTTTGGTTTGGTTGGAAGATTCAAACCATGTGATTCGAATCATTTTTGATTTATGTGTATTTTTTATGAGAGAAAATACTGTAGAGAATCACGAATCATGATTCGAATCAGGGAACGAATCCCTCTACCATTCTTCATTTTCTATATATAATTATATATATATTTACCTAAGGGTTCGTTTGGTTTGGTTGGAAGATTCAAACCATGTGATTCGAATCATTTTCAATTTATGTGTATTTTTTATGAGAGAAAATACTGTAACGAATCACGAATCATGATTCGAATCAGGAAACGAATCCATCTACCAAACGCCCCCTAAATTTTATCAATGGCGTGTCTCTTTTCCAGTGGTGAGACGTTTCGAAGCCAGAAGCCAGAGAGCTCGGCAGCACACGACGCCTCCTAACTCGGTTATCTATTCCGCTTCTCACTGAGTCACCAACTCACCGATTCAAAAGTCTCTCTCTCTCTCTCTCTCTCTCTCTGCTTTGTTGAGATTCATAGAAATGGGTGGTGCGAAGGAGAACTCAGGGCGAGTAATCGAGATCAACGGCTTGAGATTCACCTACCCGGGGATCGACGGCCATCCTCCGCCGGGCTCCAAGCCTCTGATCGACGACTTCAATCTCTCCCTCAACGCCGGAGACCGATGCCTTCTCGTCGGATCCAATGGCGCCGGTACATTCAACATCTTCTTTTATCTTTTCCATTGCTCTCCTCTTTGCTGTTTGCTTGGATTGAATGCTCATTGCTATCAGGCAAAACTACGATTTTGAAGATATTGGGAGGGAAGCACATGGTGGAACCGCACATGGTTCGTGTTCTCGGACGGTCGGCGTTCCACGACACCGCTCTGACTTCCTCCGGCGATCTTTCTTATCTCGGCGGAGAGGTTTGTTTTCTTTTCCCTTTCATCTCTGGATTCCAAACTCATTTGACAATCGAATTTTGGGCCCGATTGCGAATTTTGAGTTTACATGGAAAAGTAACTATTTTTTCAAGACCTTTGGATTCGATTTTGATAATGTGTTTAGTTCGTCGTCCAATGAGAATTTCAGCCTAAATTAGATAGTTTGTTACAACCAAAAAAAAAAAAAAAAATCAACGTTCAGTTTATTGGTGCGACAATGAGAGGTTTGTGTCATCTCTTTTATCCCTGGATTCCATTTTGATGTTTTCTTTAGCTCTGTGTAATATTTTTGAAGATGTTTTTCATTTGGTGCCCGTTCAATCAAATTTTCGATTTAAATATATAAATTCTTGACAAATTTCGAAACCGAGTTTGCATGAAAAATTCACTTTGCGTATGTTGGTTTAACAGTGTGAGATTTGTGTCTTGCCCCTGGATTTGAATTTTGATTATCTTTGTTGCACAGTTTCCCATCAAAATTTCAGCCTGAATTTAGCAAGTCTATACATTTTTCTTATATAATTTGAGTTTGTAAGGTATAAACTATAAGGAAAGCAATTTTGAGTATAGAGTTAGATTGGAATTTTATTCCGAATGATTGCTCTTTGTCTTGCAGTGGAGACGTGAAGTTGCTTTTGCAGGTTTTGATGTTCCAATTCAAATGGATGTTTCTGCGGAGAAATTGATTTTTGGGGTTGCAGGGATTGATCCTCAAAGAAGAGCTGAGCTGATCAAGGTAGGGATGTTGTCTCATCACTTCTTTAAAGTGGATCATGTTCAATATAAAACCTTGTTGATGAGATAAATTTTCTTGATGCATTATTAATTTTAGTCAAGCAATTACCATCATGTGCAATTACAATCATTGAGGTCATGACTGTTTTGAGATATAGTTGTATCATGGATTGAAATGCGATCTTATTTTGTTCAAACTCCAAACCGAGGCAGATTTCTTTTAAGATACGGTTACGATGCATCATTACTCGCATTACATAACTTGTTTTGTTGGTAGCTTAGGTACTAGATGTCGATCTGTCATGGAGGATGCACAAAGTGTCCGACGGCCAGAGAAGGAGGGTGCAAATATGCATGGGTCTCCTCAAGCCATTTAAGGTACTATCATCTCCTGCATGACACACAGTCTCAAGAATTCTCCTTTTTTTTTTTTTTTTTGAGCTCTAAGTCCCTGAACTTCTCAGCTCCTTTTAGTATGTCTAAAGGTTGTATCTTTTGAAGAATATCTTTTTCTAAACGTTTCCAACTATGCCCTTCTTGTCATCTCTAGGTTCTTCTTCTTGATGAGATTACAGTTGACCTTGATGTTCTAGCGAGGGCCAATCTTTTGAGGTTTCTAATAAAGGAATGTGAAGAGCGAGGTGCCACAATCATTTATGCAACACATATATTTGATGGTCTGGAGGAATGGCCATCACATATTGTATGTGTTTGATAGTTGTGTCAAGTTTTTGTTACTTTTGCTCAACTCCCAATTGGGAGCCTATTACGATATTAAGCTATTATGCTGTTTTCAGGTTTATGTGGCTAATGGGAAGTTGCAATTAGCAATGCCTATGGATAAAGTTAAGGAGATAAGCAAATTATCATTAATGGTTAGTTTGGTTCCTTGTTCAAAATTTCTTTAGTTGGCGTAGATGCTATAAAAGGAAATCATACCAATGAAGTTGTTTGATGCCTTGATCCTTTTGGATCTGCAGAGAACAGTTGAGAGTTGGCTGAGAAAAGAACGAGATGAGGAGAGGAAGAGAAGGAGAGAAAGAAAGGAAAGCGGTCTTCCCGAATTTGAAAACCAAATCGAGGGAAGCCGTGTTACTGGGGACCCAGCTCGTAGCACTGTACGTCCACTTAATAATGGTTGGGCTGGAGGAAGACTGCACTCCACCATTGCTGGAGAAGAGAACTTTCTGTTCAGCTCGAACAGAGTCTTGAGACAGTAAGATATACAAATGAAATTCAAAGAGCATTTTCCAAATTCCTTGGTAATAATACCCCTTGTTAAATAATCGACAGAGAAGAATATTATAAGCCTACAAATCTTCTATTCTTTTGAGCTGTAATAGTAATAAAATGAGTAGTAATGAGTTTGCAACTCTTTCATTGTAATTTTTTATGTTCACTTCCTTTGCGCCCTTCTAATAATAGTTTCAAATATCAGAAACGTTCACTCAAGACATGATCCGTCTATATGCTCACATAATGTGAGAAGGAACACTTAAATTGAAACGTTTGAATTGTGGTTCAAACCTGCAAACAAACGGACTAAATCGTATTGTTAGTTTGAAGGATTGGCGAAAGAGTAAGGACACTTGTATGCTGCCCTGAATACTACTAATAGTCTTAATACTAGATTGGAGAAATATGAATCCGAGTGATTGTTTTACATCGATTGGGGTAATAGAAACGCTTCCAAACTTTTTACAAGCGACAGAACATCTTCAACCACGTGAAGTACTCAATGTCCTCTCATGTTAGTATGGTCTCTAGGAAAAAATTTGTGATTTAAAATGTGTGATTTAGCAAAAACCAGCTCAAAACTTTAACACTATGTTTGGTAGGAAAGAAAAGTAGAAGGAAGGAAGAAGGTAGAGAGATTTTGGGTGAGAAAATGGAAATATAAGTTGTTTGGTGGCAGAAAAAGAGAAAGGAAGAGAAAATAGAGTGAAAAATAATACATGTGGGTCCCACCATTTTTATTCCCTCAACAAATGGAGAGAATTTAGGAGGGAAGAAAACTTAAAACATATGACATAATTATTTGTTTAATCTTATTTTGAAGCTACATTTTTATAGAGATTGGTAATATAGTAATTACACAATAACTCATTTCCTTTCCTTCCTATTATATCAAAAAGAAAACTATTTTATTTTCCATAACTCTCATTTTCTATCTCTTATATCTTTTCTCTCCATCTTATTTTCCTAGCATATCATCAGTTAGTCCATAAAACACATTTAGATGCACCCGACGGTTATGTCACACTAGTTTTACAAATATGAAGTAACACTAGTTTTGTAAATGCGAAGTAACACTAGTCTTGCAATAAGTAAAACGTACAACAAGTATCATGTTGCACCGTCATTAATGGGATAGTGCAATGAGAAGAATGTCTGTTTTTCTTCTTTTATTACGACATCCCAAAGAATCTTGATATCGCCAATAGGTGGTCTTACTCGACCAATGTGTTGTACAACATTGGACTCATGACATGTTTTCTTATGAAAAAATAGATGGTTTGTCATGATTTATTGAAACTTATTATTTATGCAATATGAATAATTAAGTGTCACTATGACCTTTTATTTTTTCTTTATTAATTGAATGATCATTGTTTATTTTTAGGTGTAGTGGCATAAATATTTTGTACCATTTTAAGTAGTATTTCTGTTTTTTTCCTTTTACTTATAAAGAGTATGGAATGAGAATAGGGAATTAAAATTAATCAGTGTTTACTTATCTAATTTTATCTTAAAATATGAGTGAGCTTGTGTGGGCTCCACACCAATTTGTGATTGAAGAATGAGATTGACAATCTCATGCCCCCACCGGATTGACACTTTCAATCTTGATAATAAAATTAAATTACTAATTTACCCATAAATTACACACACTAATTTGAGATTGAGAAATAGGATTAACAGTCTCATGTCCTCTACCAGATTGACACTCTCAATCTTGAAAATAAAATTAAATTACTAGTTTACCCAAATTTTGTTGAATCACTTATATCCTTCTTTTGTGTTTATTTGTCGGATTGCTTTTTTCTTTTTTTTGGTGGGTTGTTCGTAATAGCTAATGGGAAGAGAAACTATACTTATGTATAGTATAGAACTTACATTGGTTAAAACATGTGCTGGTACGTAATAACTAATGGAGGAGAACACCTGTTTTTTTTTTTTCATTTTGTTTTATTTCATTTTGTTTTACGGAAATAGTAGAAAATATGCCAATATAAAAAATTTAAGAAAGTATATAAGCTAATTTTTAGTTATAGAAATTAATAGGCCATAACTTGTCAAGTTATAGTTCATAACTTGTCAAGTTATGGTTCATAACCAGATAAGTTATGGACAATAACTTGTCAAGTTATGGTTCATAACCAGATAAGTTATGGACAATAACTTGTCAAGTTATGGTTCATAACCAGATAAGTTATGGACAATAACTTGTCAAGTTATGGTTCATAACCAGACAAGTTATGGACGAAAATAGTAATTTGGCTTATTTATTAACTTATATAAACTATTGGCCTATTAATTTTAATTCATCTCAAATCTTGGCATATTTCTCTCTTTCTCCCTTTGTTTTATTTCCTTTTCTTTTCCTACTAGTGCTACAAGATGTGATGGGAGACCAATGAGATGTTTAGTTTATGGATTCAGAATTATGATTCATGATTCTGATTTTTAAAATTTAAATTTTGTGTGTGAGAAAAACACTGTAGAGAATCAAGAATCATGATTCAGAACTAGCGACGAACTCTTAAAACAAACATCCCACAAATGATTTAAGGCTTATTTCATGGTAACCATAAAACATGGGTTTTTCTTACCATGCAAATGACTTAAAACTTTTATTTTATTGATGGATGGTTATATAATATCATAATTTTATTTTTAATTTATTTCTTCATTATATTTTTTCTTTAAATTATTTCAAGAAAAAATACATTATTTATTCAAAAATATAACTACATCTAATTACTAATTAATTTATTATCATAGTATTGGTTATTATAATATACAATTTCATTTTTAAAGTTTAAAACATAAAATTTACTAAAAGAGTATATAGATAAGTTTCTGACAGTTTATTTCAATTTTATATGTAAGTAAATATATTAATAGGATTGAGACTGATTTTAACTATGATTTTTGGGATTAAATAAACAACTTATTCTAACTCTAAATCTTGACTCCGATTTTTGTTCACTCTAAATTTTACCCACTCTAATTCATGTCCATTCTAATTACGCATAGGTAAACATGCTATCATAGCGATTTGCATGAAGCTGAACACTTAAAATTAGGTGAACTATTAAATTTTATTGGTGCGCACCCAGATTTAGGGTTGTTCACAAATTTGAGTCCGCGTATTAGGGGTGAATTCGCAACCCAATCCAAAACTATCAGATTTGAAAAATCTCAATCCGTATCCGATTTAAAAGTTTTTTCAATCCAATCCAAAACTTATTGGATTCCATGGATTTCACATATTAGGACCCTTAAAGTTGATTATTATATTAAACATCCATATAAAATAAAACACAAAATAAAGTCTTCATCATTCATCAATATTATTTTAAAAGTCAAAGTTTGCAACATCTATAACTCAAACAAAGATAACATAAAATAAAATCGTTCAACAAATTCTAAATTGTTACAAGATAAAATAGAATCACCAAAACTCTAAATGAAATCTCCATCGGAATATAAATGGACTGGGCAAGAGATTAATAATATAGGCTTTCTACTAAATATGAGTAATCAAAACAATATTACATATATGCAAAGATTTTTTTAAAAGAAGTCAAAACCTAAAACAAATTATATGTATAATATATGTTTCATATTCACAAAATTTAGGCATTGAAAAATGATCAATCCAAAAACCGATCTAAAACTTCGGATTGAATTAGATTTTAAGGATTAATTGAATTGACGAATTTCATGCACTCCTTCCCAAATTTCTTCTAATTGGGATGGGGAAGCTTTTATGTTTTTATTTTTGAGCATTCCATTCATGACACAAATAATGGCTTAATTTAAAATTTATGGAGAAAATGAGAGTTTTTAAAATTTAGGAAATAAATTATAGAGATTTTGTAGTACGTTTAGTGTACTAATATGTTAAATTTTTTTAACTATTAGATCTGTATATTTTTTAATTTTTACGTGATTTTATACAAATTTAACGGAAGAAAAGCTTATTCTACGGTATGTTAGCATATCGGAGAAAGTTATCATAAATTAAGGCTTAGTTTGGTAATACTGTAGATTTTAGAAAAATTACTTTTAGCTATGCTAAAAGAAGAAGCAGTTGTTACAAAAAGTAACTGAGTGTTTGGTAAACTATAATTATAGTAGCTGTGCTGATTCCAAATCAGCGTAATAACGTTTAGTAAATTATGAGGTTGAATTGCTGTGGATAGTTAAAAATTACGACTATATTATATTATACTATGATATAATATATATAATTACAATATAATGTATATTTATTATTATATTTAATATCATACAATAAAACTATTATTAAATAACATATTATATAACTATGATATAGAATATAATAATATTATTAAAATAATTAATATAATTACAATATTATAAAACATATTATAATATTATAAAAGAAATATTAATATTTAAGTTATAATATAATTAAAAATTACAACTATATTATATTATATACTCATCATTATATTATATTAAACAAATATATTATAATATTATTAATATAATAAATATAATTATATCAATACAATATAATATATAATATATTATAAAATAATAATTACAATATCATATTATAATTATAATATCATATTATAATTATATTATAATTATATTATAATTATAAATATCATAGTATAATTATATTATAATTATAGTATCATATTATAATTATATTATAATTATAATATTATTATAATATCATATTATATGATAAAATAATAATATTAGAGTTATTAATAGAATATTCGTTATAATATTATTATTATATTATATTACGAGTCTGAATTTTATATTAAGAAGATTGTAAATTTTAAATTTCATTAGAGGTATTATGAGTATTATGAAAGTTTCATTAACTGTATTATACTGATTCTTGCACAATCTAAAAACTAAAGTTGTCTGTAGGCTGCCTCTAATTTTGGCTGTAGATTCTTAAATTTGTTTTAAAAAAAACACTTTTAAAAAGATTTATCAAACACTAAAATCAATTTCTGCTACAAGCAGAAGATGATTTTGAGAAGAAAAAACAATACCAAATTAAGCCTGAACTAACCTCAAGGGTGGCATCTTAATATAGCCTTCGTTTACGTGGCAAGATCAGGAGCAAATCAAAGTGGGTCCGCAGTTTATCTTCGCATCACAAAATTCTCTCCCCAACGCAAACCCTAACGACGCCTAAGTAACGCCACCCGATCTTCCCAATGACAACCAACGCCGTTAAACGGTCGTTATCTCCGAGTTCTACATATAAATACAGGAGTTTCAGTAGGAAGCCTTCCATTTCGTTCCTAATTCTTTCTTTCTTCCTGGGCAGCTTCTCAGATCTGCCCCATTTCTCCGGTTCTTCGTAATCGCCATCGTCGTCCTTGCCTTGTAACCTTCTTCATTTCTCTATACATGTCTTTCAATATTTGTATCGATTTTGGTTCTGATTAATGAATCGTTATTGGAAACGGTCAGATTTTCTTCTCTTTTTTCGATTAATTTTCGCTCGGTTTCTCAAATCTAGATCTGGATTTGGGTTTCAGATCTGATGTTGATTTGTCTTTGTTATCCTTGTTCTATTCAGTTCGCTGTATCCATAAAATGCATTTTTAGGTGATGGCTTTGATTTGTTGTTCTTTTTCTGGTCTGGGTTTATTCTATCCTATCAGTTATTCTGTTTGGCATTCATTGATTTCCTTTTTTTAGATTGCGTGAAATATAAAAGAACCGAAAGCATTGAGGACGTATATACTAATAGGAGTTTTTCCTTAAACAAACTTAGGAAGAGATCTGATTCTACTAGTGGATAATGTTTGGGTTTGATTGGTGAGATAATCGTTGTCTGATTGTGTGATTTGTGAGATGATTTTTGTTTTTATGTTGCTGTGTGATTGACATTATATTTTGGTGTCTAAGAGAATCAAATGCGTGAATGAAGATGCTAATCGGTTAATTTCTCCTTATTGGATTCCTGGACGCAGCCAAGATAAAGGATGGGGTTGTCTTTCACCAAGCTTTTCAGTCGGCTTTTTGCCAAAAAGGAGATGCGAATTCTCATGGTTGGTCTTGATGCTGCTGGTAAAACCACCATTTTGTACAAGCTCAAGTTGGGAGAGATTGTGACAACTATTCCTACAATTGGTATGCCATCTATATACCATATCCAAACTTCTTTAGTCTTTGGAACATAGTTGTCTATGCCGTACTTCTTTAGTTTTTTAATTAATTAATCATATTTTCTACTGATGGATTTACTTGTAGTTTTGTCACTTGAGCTTGAAGATTAAGTTTATTTCCTTTTTTCTCCACAGGATTCAATGTCGAGACCGTGGAATATAAGAACATTAGCTTTACTGTCTGGGATGTTGGTGGTCAAGACAAGGTTTGTTCCGTTATTAAATATTATGTTTCATTTAATTTTTTTAGTCTGATGATGAGAACTTTAGAGGATAAATAGCATTAGGAAATATGGCCTTGTTTTTTTCACAACTCAAGTTCTATTGCTATAGTGTTTTTTCTAACAAAAATTCAAATTCAACTTTTTGCTACGGTATTTTTCTCTTGCATACACAACTCAAGTTCTCAACTTGAGTTGTGAAACAAACATAGCCGTACATTATTGTTTTATTTTAATGCATGTGTCCTACTTATTATAACTTATTGTTTCCAGCCTTCAATAGAATGTTGTTGTACATGAAGTACGCGTGTGTATTCATGTGCATGAAATATGTGCGTGCATTCATATGTTGTTTCTAGCCTTGAATAGAATGTTTTTGTATATGAAGTATGTGTGTGCGCATTCATTTGTAGTTTCCAGCCGTACATGTGCTGAAGTATGTGTGTGCATTCATTTGTAGTTTCTAGCCTTCAATAAGATGTATAGTGTTTATGGATGTGTGATTCTGTTTATCTTCATGTATTAATTTTGTGAGGTATCAATTTGGTGCTTATTGACGGTCTTGTGCTGATTAGTATCTCCTCCATCAGCACATAACATAATCATAAGCTATATTGGTTGTGCCACCGTGTATTTTGTTTGGCCCTCTTTTGTAAGAAGGGACACACTATGCAAGTATGGCAGACATAGTCTAACTTACCATTCATGTTCTAGTGCCTGTTTTTCTTCTGCCGTTTTTTATCCTGACATGACGTGTTTGCTAAATTTTAATGTGATTATGATTCGCCCGATACTTGTTAGTTAACCCTACAGTTGTACTAACGTCAACCGTTTTGAACTTTTCTTTGTTTTTTGGGGACACCCAGATTCGACCTCTGTGGAGACACTATTTCCAGAATACTCAAGGACTGATCTTTGTGGTTGACAGCAATGATCGTGACCGTATAGTTGAGGCTAGAGACGAGTTGCACCGGATGCTGAATGAGGTAGTAGATCTTGATTTTGAAGGAAAAAAAGATGGTTCAGGGATCATGATTTTGAATTTCCCAATATTGTGCTATTTTATGAACCTAGGTGCTTTTCTCACTGTATAATGCAGGATGAATTGAGGGATGCTGTGCTGCTCGTTTTTGCTAACAAGCAGGATCTTCCAAATGCTATGAATGCTGCTGAGATCACAGACAAACTTGGTCTTCACTCGCTCCGCCAACGTCACTGGTAGCGTGATGAACCCTCTCTTTCATATTATTATCCTTACCATGTTATATATACTGGATCTGACTATCACCAATTTTCTTACAGGTATATTCAGAGCACATGTGCCACCTCTGGGGAAGGGCTTTATGAGGGTCTCGACTGGCTCTCCAACAATATTGCTAACAAGGTAGGCGCCGTTGCTGCTCTATCTTGAAATATCTCTTGTGATAAAGTTTTGTACTCATTATTCTAATTCTTGTTTCAGGCTTAAAAACGATGAGTTGACTCCTGGTGGACTTTTTGTGGCTACAATGAGTGTTATCCTGGAATGCTGCTCTAATATGTGGTGTTGATGTATTCTTTAATCTTCTTACTGTTCTATTATGTATCTGTTTAGATCTTGTCACCACAAGATAGAAATTGTTATTTCATACTGTAGATTCTAAATAATTCATGATTCCCAGATCTATAAACGATTCATCTTTGAATCTGTTTAAAGTTGCCATACAATGTTGGCTTTGTTTGAATCACTATTAGTCCGCAGTGTCTATATGTACCCTGATAAATTTCTGATAAATCCTGTATTTGGATGTATTTCTCCTCTTTACGAGTTAAGCCAATACAATCGCGGTTTTTGGGTCTACTTAATCTGTGTTTATCTTCAGTTTCTTCTCTCCGTTCAGAACAACTTTATAACAGTATAACTATCCAATGATGGCGAGTGGATGTTATCCCTCCGGATAGCAGTGTTAGATACAAATTCCATTACAGACTCTCTTATCTTCTTTTCTTGACATGTGTCGTATCACTTTTTTAAAACAAGGAATCTTAACAATAAGGCAGTTTTTTCAACAATGATTACGACAGTGCTACTTTCCTTTTAATCACTTAGGGTATGTTCTTGCAACTCGAGTTATAATTTTATTCGAGTTCATGTTCTTTTAAATTTAAACTCAAGTTTAAACTCGAGTTTAGGACTAAAACTTGAGTTACTCGAACTCAAATTAATGAACAGTATTTTTTCTATTCTTAAAAATTTTATAACTTTTTCGTTTTAATTTTGATTGAGATGATTTTTTTCTCTGCGTTGACAACGAAAAGACGAATAAAATCCGACATATATACCCTATTAAAATTTTTCATCAACATTGAGTTTTTATTAAAATATTATCTAAATATAAATTCAAGTTTTAATTCACTCAAACACAAACTCAAAAAGATTCTTATCTCAAACCATAACTCAAATGTACACAACCAAACATAAACTCAAGTTACAAGTTCAATTCAAGTTATAACTCAAATTCAACTCAAGAATTATACTCAAGTTAAACTCTAAAAGAACAAGGCCTTACTCTTTATCTGTGAAATGTTTACAACTATTTGTGTCTACTTTTTTCACCTATTATTAGAAGATTGAAAGCTTATGTTTTTCACCTATTGTATAGAGTTACAATTCAGTTTTATGCAAATACTGAAAACTCCCTTTCAACAAAAAAAAAAAAAAAATTTAAACTCCCTTTCAGTTTTATGCAATTCACCTATTGTGTGTGTATTTTTTTTTGCTAAAGAAAACTTAAATACACACACACACACACACATATCAAACGTTAAAATATACTTGTAAAATCTAAATACAAATGTATATGATATATAAATATAACATAAGAACAATGTATGAAATCGTAACTACCGTTTTTTGTTTACGTTGCGCTATATTATATATACATGTATAAATATATTTAATCTGCAAGTTAATACATAATATAATTAAATTATAATACATATATAATATATTTGAAAGACGTATAAACATACCTTTTCTTATGGTTAAAAAATTAAATGTTTTATTATTTAATAAAGGTAAACCTTGTTTTTTGTTTTACTCCAAATATCAACGATTGTAGATGTAATGTGTCATTTTGAAATAGTATTGAATACACATTTTTTCTTTTGGGTGCATTCTGATTAGAATTCTCCAAGCATATAACCAACCCCAAAAAAGAGAGAGAAACTAGAAATTAAAAAAGCAACAATTTTCTTTTTCTTTTTTCTTTTACTAGAAAATTTACATCATTGTTAGAAATCTAGAACCAAAACTAAGATGCATTCTCGTAAATAACAGATAGAAAAAAACGTGAAGTGAATATTTGTTTACAATTTGTGTAGAAAATGTAAAATCCGGAGACGTTTGGTTCATAGATTAGAATCATGAGATTATAATCATTTTTGATTTACGTGTATTTTTTGTGAGAGAAAACACTATAGCGAACCATGAACCATGATTCGAATCGGGGTACGAATCCCCCAACTAAACAACTCATGCTTAGTTCTTAAAGGAGGCGGCCCACTTGTAATTATTGTTAAAAGAAGTAATTTATTATTAAGTTTGTTTGTTTTGAAAATATGAAATGACACATGTTAATAAAAGAGAGTATCATATGTAAAAGAGTGTGTAATGGAGTTTGTATCCAGTATTTTTCCCTTTCAAATTGTCTAATTTGGAAAGCAAGATATAACAAATGGGTTTGTTTTCTTAATTATTTGGTAAAAAACTTAGAACATTTAAATGTTGCATGAGTTGAATACGATGTCCCTTTTTTTTCCTTGGAAAAAAGTGTGGAAGGGGTAACAATGTGTATGATTAAGGGGGCATTTTTGTATTGAGTGATATTTGTGCAAGTCATATGACTTATCTGCTTTGCATAGCGTCACGTAACCCCTATCAAAAACTAAAGGATATTGAATTAAGGATGTAAATGGGTGGCAGTTAGAGCTGTAAGTTTAGGCTGGGTTAAACGGGCTAATTTAAGACCAATTATTGTTGGCCCATGTCTGGCCTGACCCGACTCTAAATTTTTTATGTTATGGTCGGGCTGGGCCGACTCTCTCTCTTTTAAGACCAGCACGGTCCGACCCAAACACCATACTTTTAAATATTTTTTTTAAAAATATCTTATAAAGTTTTGGACCGGTCCTAAACTTTTTGAGCTTAGAGCCAAGCTGGGCGACCTTCTCTCATTTATGGTCGGCCCATCCCGGCCCGTCCCGACCCTAAACTTACACCTCTAATAGTAGTGAGGGCAAACTATATAGATAACTCAGTTAAGTAACAATGTATTTTCCAATGTTTAGGTGAAAGGTTTTTTTTTTTTTTTTTAACCAATCTTTCTACCTAGCTATCTATATATAGAAATGCGAATAGCATTTCCGGGTTTCGACCAAAACAACGACGTTTCAGTCAAAATGCATAAAATTTCTCATTCCTTTTATTTATTTATTTATTTTTGTTTTTACTTTAAAACTTATTTATTTCTTCATTTTAGTCTTTTTTAGCCTTTTTTTATTTGTATTGAAATTTATTATTTTTTGTTTTTATTCCTTTCACCCTAAACTTATTTATTTCTTCATTTTGGTCCTTTTTTACCCTTTTTTATTTTAGCATTGAAATTATTTTTTTATTTTTTTGTTTTTATTCCTTTCACCCTAAACTTATTTATTTCTTCATTTTGGTCCCTTTTTTTTTTTTACCTCTTTTCTTTATTTTTTCCTTGAAACTTTATTTTTTTATTTTTTTTTTGTTTTGATTACTTTTGCCCTAAAACTTATTTATTTTGTCATTTGGTCCTTTTTTACCTTTTTTTTTCTTAACTTTTGGCTTGAATTTATTCCTTTGTCTTTTAGTTCCTTTTGCCCTGCAACTTATTTATTTCTTTATTTAGTACTTTTCTTTTCTGATATATTTTTTATTTTGTCTTGAAATTTTACTTTATTTTTCCCTAAGAGTCCTTTTCCGCGCCCCCCCCCCCCCCCCCCACTTTTTATTTTTGTTCTGAAATTTTATTTTATTTTTTATTTTTATTCTTTTTGCCCTAAGACTTATTTATTTATTCATTTTGATCATGTTTTACCTCTTTTTTTAAATTTTTACCCTAAAATTTTATTTTTTTTGTTTAGTCCTTATTTATTTCTTCATTTTAGTTCTTTTTTTTTTTTGGCTTCTTGTCCTAAAGCTTTATTTTTTTTTTCATTTTTTCCCTTTTGGGATTTTATATTCAGATTTTATATGCTTTTAATACTAACAAGGTAGTTAAAAATTAAAACATTGATTACTCTCCATGTGCATAGCATGTGTAGTTCAACTAGTAGAATTAAAAAAAAGGTGTCTACAAAAGTTAAGACAATAGATAATATTTGAGTTTTAGGGTAATTGGCATTATTGATCCCCAAACTTTTCAATAGGTGACAGTTTAGTCCATATTTTTTTTTAATTTTGGTAAAACGGTCCCTAAACTCTTTAAATTTGCCAATTAAACCATTTCCATCCAAATCCGTCAAGTTTTTAATAGAAATGATCATGTGCAGTGCATGTGATCTAAAATAAGCGGGTATTTCATTAAAATAACGTCAACTTATATTTTTAACAAAAAATAAAACTAAAACACATGAAAAAAGAAAATAAATATATCTGTAAGAACTAAAGCCCAGATCCACGAATAGAGAAAAATCAACAAATTAGATATTCAAAACAATCTACAAACAAATCAGAAATTCAAACTTTAATCAAGTTCATATCTTTATATCTAGCAACACAGAATAAAAACATCTAGGATAGAGAGGAAAGCATAGAGAGCATAATTGGGAAAAAAAAAAATCGAAACGATTGTCCATGGCAAACAAAATGTATAGATTGGATTCCACATGTATATACTCATCAAAGTGGAGAAGAACAGACAAAAGAAAAAAACTTGCATGCTCACCCATGTTAATTCCTTCCTCATTTCCATTGATTCATAAACGTAGGCAACATCTAAGGTTAGGTGTATCAAGAGAGTTGAGAAATTTCAAGTACCCAGAAAACCAAACACAAAATAATAATAATAATAAATAAATAAGTACAATGATCTTGGGAATAATGGGAGGTGCTTGCAATGGGGGATTCACGCGAGGGAACTGTGCGACAAGCCCAGAGCTGCTCGGAGTGCGGCGATCCGCGACAGATTTTGGCTTGCGGCGACGTGGGTTTGGCAGCGGATTTGACAAAGTTCAGCTCAGCCAAGCCCGTCGCCGACCCATCATCTTGTTAACTAGACGGGAATAATTCTTTTACCAAGTGCTGCCGCTCCTTCAACGAACTTTACCAGTGCTCATTCCTTGCCCTGATCAGATCCACCAACTCATCGCCCAAGGGCCGCCCCCAAATCTGCCAATTCCTGTTGTCAGCGGTTAACTTTCGCCCCACCAGATTAATAACTTATCGTACTTCTTTATGCAACTAAGGTTGCTGATATGGGGATGAAATCATAATGTGT